ACAAAAAAAAAAAAAAAAAAAGCCCAAGCTGGGTTTGAATTTGCCATCCTCCTGCCTCAGCCTCTTGAGTAGCTGAGATGACAGATATGTGGCACTGCACCCAGTTGCCTTCAGTAATTTTAAAAAATAATCTCAACAAGGTCGTGCCCCCCACCCCATGGGTCTGGGAATGAGCCTTGTGCATGTTAAGTGAGTGCTCTACCATCGAGGTACAAAACCAGTCCTGGTTTTGCCATTTTAAAAAAGTGGTGTTTTATTTAGATAACTGCCGTGTAACATGAAGTGTTGAGTTGCTATACACATTTTCCTAAACTAACATGCATTTTTCTTTTGAGGCAGGGTGAGCCTGGCCTCAAAATCAATATGTAACCCAGTCCAGCCTCAAACTCAATGATCCTCCTGCCTCAGCCTCACTGGAGTTCTGGGATTAGAGGCATGTGCCACCGCGCCTGGCTTAGCATGTATTTCTTAACCGCAGTTTAAACCTTTGTTCACTTTAGAGAACTGTTTTAACGCCTGTTACAGAATCCACGTTCCTGGATTCTATGGAGGGCAGCGGAGGAATTTTTTCTGTGCTGTGGTAGGCTGTCTGCTGAGTTGGTGCAGTTATTTTGGTCCAGCTAGGAAACATATTCCTAGCTACAACATATTCCTAGAAGAGAACATTTTGATCTGTAAGTTTCAATATGCAGTAATGGGTTGTATGGAGGGTTTTTTTGTTTTTTTTTTTTTGTACAGAGTATTCCTAAGGCTATCTGAAGAGGGAAAGTTTGCCGGCTGGGTGCTGTGGTACACACCGGCGATCGCAGGGCGCTGAGGCAGGAGAATTGCAGAGTTGTAGGCCAGCCTGGGCAGTTGAACGACTCCCCGTCTCAGTCTCAGAATTAAAAAAGGTCAGGGCTGTGGCCCAGTGGATTCAGACCTCCCCGCACACGCGCACACCTGCCAGAGCCCGTTCGTGGGTGGAGTGTGGTGAGGCGCGACGGCGGAGGGGCTGTGGGGAGCACAGTTCGTGCAGCTGCTGTACCACGGCCCAGAGCTAGGCTTCAGGGGCGAGGCGCCGGACGCACGCTCTTACTGGGTGACCTGTTAAGTGTGTTTATTTCTTCGTGTCCGTCACTGTCTGACCTAAACACACCCCTAGCCTTTTTCTTATGTTCCTTTCTCGCAGCGAAAGTGGATCTCAGGTCGGGACTGGCTCCGCTAGAATGGTGCTGAGCTGCCTCAGTTTCTCTTCAGCTGTGCTCCAGGGAGCGTGGGGAGGGACACCCAGTCACGGTACAGGGTACAGGGCTCAGTCTGGAAAGTGACTTCCAAAGCCACTTTGAGAGCTGGGAACAGTAAAAAGGGCATGAGTTCAGGGAAACAATGTTTACACTGCAGTAATTTTTTTGAAGCCTGTTTATTGAGATGCCAACAGCACAGAATTGTACAAGTGATGTGAATTAAACATTACATAAATGTATTTCTTTTTATTTTCTTTCTCTCAACTACCCTTCACTGAAATTTACAAACGGATATAAAAATCCTGTTTGTACCTGGTTTGCTTGTTAGAGAAATACTGAGTAAACGGCCTGTGTTATTTCACAGCGCTGCCATCAGGTTAAAAGCAAAATGCACATAAAAATATATAAATATGAGATCCGTAAGGGGAAAATAAACTATGAACGTACAAAATGGTACACATTTAAAGTCCCGTCTTGTCTTTGGTTTGTTACCGGCTCAGCCAGCAGT